TCATCATCACCAACACTATTATTATTATTGTTATTTCATATAATACAATTTTCCTAGATCATATTTCTTAATTTTAAAAATTGATGAAATTGTAAAAATTATCATTACCATTATCAAATATACTTGAAAATTTATCGTAATGGTGCTAATTATAAATTATTAAAATATTTAATCCAGTCACCGCATACGGATTTTTTTCACTTTTTTTAAAATTACAGGTCCGAAATAAACTTGAAGATTTTCAGCAAAAAATTAACCATTTTCAAGCAATCAATTATTATATTTGCTCTATAATTTAAATTTTTTTAATTTGCAAAGAGCGCCTATCCAAAAAAAGAGATGGAGAGAGGGAGAGAAAGAGAGAGAGAAGGAAAGAAAAAGAGAAATGTAGACAGTTCACTTTTTATGGAAATAATCGATTTATAAAGCCTTAGCAACAACCTTTTCTTACTCTTTATTTTTCAGTCGTTCTTTTTGTATTGTTTGTTTATTGGATGAGTGGAAGTCGTTTGAGGGAGTGCTCGATGGTGGATCGCATAAAATGTTTCCTCTTCGCATTATTGACAGCAAACAAAACAAACTGCCACTAACTGATTCTCGTTGTTTATCAAATTCGTGTTGCTTATATCACTTTGATTAATTCATCTTATTTATATCAGTTTGATCTGCTCATTATTTACATGAATTTAATTCATTCAAGGTTTCTTTTTCCAATGTTGGTTGATTAATTGCTTAATCGAGTTTAGCATTTGAAATTCAATTTTTGACCGCTTATGCTAATGATTAATTTAAACTTGTTTCACACTTCTATATTGATTAATTATTTGATCAAATCTGATGTTTAAAATAGAATTTTTGACGCTTATAACACCTTGTTTAATTGAGAATTTTCATGTTTTTCCATCTCTATTAACTGAGTATTTAACCGAATTTAACGTCTAAAATTTAAAATAGGATTTATTGCCATAATTAACGCATTTTTATCGTGAAAGAAACATGAAAGTTGCAAATAACTTTATGGATAGTAATTATAATCATATATTATATATTAGGCACAAAGTAGGAAATTTCAGAATGAACAAGAATACCACGCAGGTATGGCTGACTAAATTTGAATCATCTTTTAAATTAATTTCAAATTTCAAACTCCTCTAATAAATACAATTGAAAATGAAATCAATAGTTCGAAGTTCTAATTTTTTACAGTATTAATTCGTCTTTTGTACATTGAAAGTGTCAAATTCTGCCTTATGTTTGAGCCAGTTTGATTACTTTCAAATGGTCCCTTTTTCTCTTTAGTTTCAACTTTATTGTTATTAATTTTACATTTTATAATTACACCGATTGACTTCCTCATCTTAATTTCCAAAGTTGTATTTCAATTTCAAGTGAAATTATGAGTTGAATGATTCATTAATTCCCATGCATGCTACATTTAAATTTCATATTTTTTTCTTCCTGATGCTAAGTTTATTTAAATCTATTCTCGAACTTCGGAATTGTTGCATCTCTTTCTTTTTTTTCCCGAAAATCTTGTCAACGCCAGTTGCTTTAAGTTCCAATACAATTAACTTCAAAAAACATGATTCAAAGTTCAAAAAAAAGTTGAAAAAGGCTTTGTAATCAGCTAAAAATAAAGTAATGAAATAAGGGAGAAAAAAAAGTGAAATAAGAAAGTGAAAAAAGAATAAAGATATATGATTGACTTAATTTCCAATTAAGCTGAAAGAAAACAAATTAAAAATTTTAGCCTAATTTCAGTTCTCTTTTTTCAATACATTAAATACATTTTAAAAGAAAAGCAAGAAAGAAATGATCTATCTTTATGCTTGTTTGATTCGATTTTAAAATGTATCAAATTTCTTTCACAAAATTTTGTAAACAAAATTTAAATGCAACTGCTTTCACTTTTCATCAAAATTACTTGTAATTTAATAGATAGAATTGCAGTGTTTTTTCAATTTAATAAGTTCATGAAAATTAATTTTTAACACGTATCATTAAATTTGATTTTGTTAAATTTAGTAAGTTTCATTAATATCACCATCCAATTTAATATGTATATTAAAATTAATATTCAAATTAATAAACACGATTAAATTAGTTTTAAAAATTTTATGAACTTGTTCCATTCTGTGCTCATAGCATTCTTTTATCAACTGTTTGACATTATTTCATTTTGATTTCCATTTTGTCATCTATCATCTTTGAATGATAAGATATTTTTGAAGGGATTTTTTTTCTCCTTTCTCCAATTAACAATCATTGTCAACGATAAATTGTCAACTTTGTAGCTTAAATTGGCAAATAACAAAGCAAAAGAATGAGTAAAAAATTCCCGTGAATTTTTAAAATATGATTAAAATTTGAAAAATTCTACCATTTTTCTTATTTCATTCAAGCTTTTTTGCAGATAGCAAAACGAAAGGTAATTTAAATTATTGAAAAATATTTGCAATAAACCGTCTAATATTTAATAAGTTTATTATTTGTAAACTAAAATAAAAAATATTTTTTTCTATTAGATTTTATCACATTGAACCAAATTATTCGAAAAATTGAATTATTTATGCAATATGATATTTTTAATGTTAAATATTTGTTATATTATTTTCAATACTTATTTGCAAAGTTTGACAGTTATTGCTTTCCTTTTTTATTCATTTGTCATTTAAATTATTACTAAAAGAGATGTTTGCATTTCGGATACTATCTGACTCTAAAAATAAATTGAAATTCAATAATTATTGATTGTTTTCTTCGTATTTTTATATTTTATTGCGGGCTGAACGAAGGAATGAAAATTTCGATCGTTTGTTGACAAAAATTATTTTTACTTAGTGATTATCTTTCCTTGTATTTTCATGTTTAATTAATTTACTGATTAATTCTTTTGTTTTTCTCATTTTTAATCTTGTTAATTTTGAAATTCATTCTTTCTACGTTTTATTTGCTATTTTTCAAATATTTTAATTTTTGTGTATTGGAGAAGCTCCAATAGCTTCTCCAATACTTTCCTCTTCCATCATTTTTTTTCGGGGAAGGAAAAACACACTTCAAAATGAAAATATGAAAAAAGAGAAATCACTCATTTTTTAGGCTTTTCTAATTAATCATTTCGTTGCCTTTCTTTTATTTTTCTTCGAATAAATGCTTATACAAATGTGACATTTCAGTTATTATTAACTTTTTAATTGTTCATACAAATATATCTTGATTCTTACAAATTCTGTTTATGAAAAAAAACACTTTATTTCTTATAAATTTTATTTTTTTCATATAAATAAGATTTTGAATCTTTATGATTAAACATTTTGTACTTTTTGTTATGTTTAATGAAATTTTTGTGACATTTTTCAAAAGTTTTTTGAATTATTCTAAATTCCAAACACAGCGCTGAAATAATTCAATATGCTAACAATAGCAAAATTGTTGACGAGGAAAGAGGAAGAATGAAAAAAAAGGAAATGATGAATCGATTGTTAATATAATCTATATCGGTTGATTCCTTATTTTTCTAGACATGAAGCAAAATTGAAATGCGACATTCAAATTGTTAATCCTTTTTTTCATCTTTTTTTTTCAAATATCTTTTTTATTTTAGGGAAATTAAACAAAAAACAATAACGATAATTAAAAGGAGGGCAAAATAAGTAAGTAAATAAGTTATATAATATAAATTGTTTTTGCTTTTGATTGTGTATTCCTTTTAACTAATTCTTAAAATTTGCTAAAAATTAGAAAAAAATGAAAAATTTACGGTAAACAGAAAGATAAGAACGAAAAAAGGAGAAAAGTGACATTACTGTAAGTGAGGATGAAACAGTTTGGATTCGTTGTCCTATTATTGCTAAATCGTTATTCGCAATCATTGTTATGCTATGATTGCTATGATACCGGCCCATCCAATGAAAAATGCGTTAAATCAAAGAATTGTACGGGTGAAGCCTGCTTGTTGTGTAAGTTTTAATTAAAAAATTATTTTGTTTTTACTCAAATAATTAATTTCGTCTTATTTCTCATTCACTTGCTAAGTACTATAAAATATTATGGTAATTAGTCAGTTCATTATTTCATATCATTTTTTTTTTGTATAACTTTTAAATATCATCTCTCACAAAAGAATAGAAACAAAAGAATAGAAATTTTTTGCATTAAATGAAAGAAATTTTTGTTCAAAAAAATGAAATTTCTTTTTTTGTCAGATGAAGGTGAAGATTTGTTACTAACAACAGCATTTTGCTTATTAAATCTTCCCAATCATTACCGGAAGCGAAACAAAATTAATGATGCAAAATGTTGGATGGAACGGAATGGAAAAGGAAAGCATTGCATATGTTCGCAAAATTTTTGTAATCAGTTACGTGATCGACGTATTCCGTTACAAGGTAACAATTAGTGAGATTTCATATGATTATTGTATTAACTTTCAAAAATGACAACAATGAACAAAAAACAATACAACATGTTACAGTGAATAGTAGAAAATTATTAATAAGATAATCATGTATTCATTATCATTAAATAACATTAAAATCTTTAAGTAATCTGCTTATAATCAAGATCTATCTAAAATGAAAATTTTCTTTAAGTTTCTTTAATTGAAACTTTCAAGCATTTTGAAATATTCGTTCGGAAAAATAAAAAATTTAAGGCAATACACCGCTTATAAATGCATCTATGACCAGTCATAATCCATTGATTGATTACGACTACACTAATGAAAATGAAAGTCATTTCACTTTTGATCTGATGCATTTGGAAAATCATGCAAACGTAATTGGTAATGAGCCATCATCGAAAGGTTAGTAAATAAAGAAAATAAACAAAAATAAATTTTTCCTTAAGTTTCTTTAATTGAAATTTTTAAGCATTTTGAAATATTCGTTCGAAAAAATAGAAAATTTAAGGCAATACACCGCTTATAATTTAGTAATAAATGCAGTAAATGAATAAGTCGATTAGGCATATACAATGGATGAATTCTAAGTGACTTGAAGAGAATAAGATAATAAATAAACATATTCAATTCACTAACTAACCAATTATTAAAGAGTAGAATAAAATTAAACCTCTTTCACTTTTCTCAAACAAGAAAAAAAAACTTTTTTCAAATATTTTAATAATTCAAACAAATAAATTTTGCATTATATCTGTTGATATTTACGTGTATCATAATCAACAGATGTGTTGCTCACGTATGATCGTATGATCATATTTATGCGTCTATCTTTTTGCTCAGTATGCACACTTATCCAACAGTTATAAATGAAATGGCAAAATTATTGCCCAAATTATTTTTCCTATGCATAAGAATCTTTCCTTTCATATAATATAAAACTATCAGAGAGAAACTTTTTACGGTTTACTTGCACTTCGAATAACGCTAAATTAACTTCTGTTTCAAATTTATGATTTTTCTTCCACTTTTGTTTACTAAGAACAAAAAGTATAATGTCATAACTACCATTTTCCCATCTTTGATATATTATAACGTAATTTTTAACGATTAATCAATTTTTCTTTTCATAATGGATGAAAAAAATAGAACGTATATCATAAATAGGTAGAATTCCAAAATATAATTAATTTTGAATTTATACTTACATTAATAATTTTAATTGTCAACTATTTTTTTTATTAAATTTTTGATTTTTTTTCCAATATGATGTCATTCTTCTCCGTATCTAATTTCTGCTGGAATTTTTCCATCACTTTTTTAGATTTGATTCCAATCGAAATAGAAAATCCTGATTATAAAGATGTGTTAGAGTCAACAGTACAAAGACCAATAAAATCAACATCATCGCTATCATCATCATCATCATCATCACCTATCAATAACGAATATCATCAGCTGTTAACTACTAATTATACGACGAAACATGTTCTCAATCATAATTCTCATTTCTATGCAGCCAATGAAGAAATGAAAAGGAAACAGCCGCCGCATATTTCCATAATGAATGCGATCCATCCGGATCAAATGCTTCAAGAAATTAAGGAAAATATAACATTACCTAAAATAGCATCGAATAATTTCAAGATGAGCTTTAAATATTTTAAAATAATGCTTTTTTTGAAACTATTTCATACTTTTCATGCTTGAAATTTAAATATTTTAACAAAATTTCGAGATAATATATCACAATAAAAAATTAGACTATCATGAATGAATGATCAGTGGCAACAGGTAAATTTTAAAAGTTTAGGCCTGTCTTTCTGTTTATATTATTAAGATGGACAAGAAATAAAGAGAGCTTGGAAAGAGAGCATTTTTAAGTGATTATATTTGCATTATTCTATATTTTTTTATCTATCCTTTTTCTTCCTAGTTAATTTAAATTACTTACAGAACAAGAAATATGAGAAATAAAAAATAACAAGAAAAAAATCAATGGATTGAAATTTCTATCAGAGAATGCTAAATTCGTTATGGAGTAAATTTTTTGTCAGAAATTATTAAATAATCAATTTGTGGATTTTAAAAGTATTACCATTGTCGGATTGAATCAGAAATATTTTGATTTTTTAAATTTTACTATGAAATTACTGGTTGTAACACAAATTGCTTTGGCACATCATGAACCATGAAGATATCAACAGTAAAGTTGTATAAGAAAACGGCAAAAAAAATATTTAAAAATATAATGTTGGAAGTACCATAAGATCGTAAGAGATGCTCGCTACATTACCATTTACAGTCCATTTCATTTGAAGTGAAAGTTTCAATCTGACTAATTTATATCATCCTTCAAATAACTGTCAATTCATAATTTTTCTTCTGTTTAATTTCGAAATCTTCAATCCTTATTTATATTCTGGCAAAAATGTCCCTCAATCAATATGCTGCTAACAGTTGTGCATTTTATTTCTATTTAAAGGAAAAAAAAAGCCTTGAAAAATAAGTAATAATAATCGTTTTGTCGGAATGTTAGTTAAAGTATTAATGAGTTCGCTTGTCTCCATCCTTCCTCATTATTAATGGCATACTCATTGTCAAATATTGTGCATCCTTCCTCTTCATCATTTATATATATATATATATATATTGTTAAATTTCCACTAAATTTATTTATCTTGGAAGGATAGTGAGGTATTTTCCGAAAAAGCACAAGCTATAATCCTGAAATGCTAATCACGTGGCTCATATTATTTCAGCAAATGTTGATATGTACGAAAAGAATTCCTTTCTACCTTTCTAATTACAGTTTCTCAGAGAGAGAATAAAAACAATCTAATATATTGTTGAAACAGTAATACCAAACATGATTTGTAGCTCACTTTTCTATTAGAACAAATATTACAAAGACAAAAGAAATAAAATGCTATTTTAAGGTACTGTGTTTTCAAATTTATGCACCTAATATCCAAAAACAGTATTGAGTAAAATTAAACTTGTAAAAGAAATATTTAAAATCCAGGAAGCATAACTGGAGTTGACCTAATATTCTGTCTAAAATGGTATTAATGGAAACTTAGGAATAGATTAATTGTGATTTGAAAAAATCATCGACCAATTAGAGTTCAATGACAAGTTTCAGGATTCAAACTGTAAAGAAGCACCTTTCCTCCAGGTATATAATTTTTAGCAAACGCAAAACCAGTATCAGTTAAACTATTAAATGCAATCATTTCACGTGGCACAGAATCGGAACTGATGAAATGCATTCGTGCATGATCTAGCAAAAGTGCTGCAATACCTTTACGTCTTAAAGTTTGATGTACCCACATTCGATTAACACCCATATATACATCACTGCCTGTTGATACTACATCATTACTTCCACAGCTTTCCTTGAAATTAAACGAAAATAATGATTAATACCATGGTTAAGCGTTACAAATATAAAAGTATCAGATTTCGCATCAATCTAAATTATAGGATTTTTTTCTAGAGTAAAGAAGGACATTCCATTTAAAAATAATAAAAATAAATTACGAATCAACAAAGCTTTTTCTTATGGGTATAAATTGATCAAAATTAAAATGAATTGAAAGTATGAAATGGATATACCTCTGCATATTGCAGCTGTCCTTTAAATATCTTTTCAACCAAAACCACAGCACCAATAAAGTAATAGCTGTCTGAAGCTGTAATGTATACCCAAGCTTGTCTTCTGCCATCCGATGTCCAGACCTGTGCTAAATCTGGCGCATAACCTAATTCTCTGTTGATGCATTCCAATATAACCTGAAAAAACGCATGGTAAAAGGAAAATAACAAAAAAGATGCGTCATGCTAAGCAATAAATTAAATGAAAATACCTTTAATCCGTATAAATATGTTCTAAATTGACTGCCTGAATTCATCCTCATTGTATTGTTTATGCACAACTTTACGCATATCAGAATATCAATAGACATACAGGACGATAAAAAGGCCTACCATTTCAAAATACATGACGAAAAAAAGATGTCAACAAAGAAAGTAAACCTTATCAACACGTGTTTTCAGAGTACATTTTGATGTTTGCGTAATGCAAAATATGTGACTATAATTTCCTTCGAATTGTTCAACAATGCAAAAAACAGTCCTGAATAAAGAATACTGCTCTAAGATTAATTCGAGTCAATAATAATTTAAAATGCATCTTAAATTCAACTCATTTATGTGTGACAATTACAAAGTCATTTGATGGAAACCAAACCGAAATTCTGACATTTCAAACGAAGATTTCATATTTGAATTCAAACATGATATTCAAATGTTTTACTGAGAAGAATAACTATACCGTTTCCAAATATCTACTTGTGCGGTCTGCACACGAAACCATCTGGTTGATAAGAAACGACTGTGAAATTCCTGATGCTGCTTTCGATCGGATAACGAATCGCAATCATACACCATACCACACTGAAGATGTATGGTATGTTTGTTTGAGAAAGGCCAATTGTAAGACTAAATTGCACTTCTCACTTCCACATTAACATAAGAGGAATTACTATCTAATTCAGTAATTACTTAGGAATATCGCAGATAATTAATCCTATAACTTCCACTTTTGATTTCTAATAAAGCCTTCAAATGAACCTTCCTTTCCTTCTATCATTTCTTGTTGAATAATTAAAATACCATGAAGATGAAACCTTCTTGCATTGCTGATGACCGAACTGTTTTTGTCCTGCATCGAGAATCATCTGCTTTGGATCATCTGCTAGCATTCTTCGTCTCTTCTTATTCTCTTTTCCAGATACGATAACTGTGCGAATAACTTTAGAACTACTAGCTGTAGTGGGTAATACCGATGATGGACAATTTTTAGTCAGTGATAAAGGTTTGGAAAATCCTTCACTTTCACTGTTTGGGTCCGATTCATAACTTATATTTGATGAAGGCATAACATCTGATTTGTAACACTTTTCTGATGAATGGTAGAAATCGGTTAGCAATTTCTGTCGCAAAACTGACATTCCAACGCCGAAAACTGAAATTGTCAAACTATGCGAAATAAATGCTTACGTAACAATTAAGTACGCAAGCGTACTAATCCAGGCAGTGATCCCTAATTTTGCCGGATTTCCTTTCTCGCACATGCAGTGAATTGACTAATCAAGAATTAAACTTTCCCTCAGCAAGAAACATAAATGTACCGCCACTGCAACATACCATATAATGTACTGTGAAAGATATGGTTCTGATTTCTCTCCTCAAAATAAATTAGCAATAAACGAAATTACTTCGTTTACTTTTTAATTCATTCATTAAATTTTTTGTCTAATCATTAAGTTACGAGTCTGTCATGCACAAGTAGTCTGTTCAAGTCACTCAAAAAAAGTTGGAAACCATCATTTTTTTGAATCCGATCACTTCCATTGATGCAATGTCGAGAAATATGTAAATGATGGATGTAAAACAAAGAACCAAAAAAATTGAAGAATTGGTATTTTATAATTTTCTTCCAATAATAATTAATGAAATTAGATACAAAATTTAAAACCAGCAAAGAGCTAAGAAAGACTTAAGATATAAGATATAACTAGAAAATACAAAAAACAATTCCTCCCATAAATCATTATCCTTTGACAAGATTTCCTAAAAGATAAGCATAAACAGCAAGTAATACAATCCAGAACGTATGAAAAGGATGCAAATTACATCAGAAATTAAATACGAGCTGACACAATTCTACTGTTTATTTTCCTGTAAAAACGAAATATATTCTATTTTTCGTCAAAACATGAAGATTTAAGCATTACTTTACAAATATACCAAATCTTGAAATATCCAGGAAAACAAACAAATTCTTTGTCACCCATAATTATCTGACAAAAACAGAACTTATAAATCACTCAAAGAAAAATGGATCAGAACAAACAGAAGAGGAACTACTACAGAAAAGTGGAAAATAAAACCCGTAACAGTTATATTAAGTGCACTACAACTCCAATATCGTCTCATAAAAACAAATTAAACAGGAACTTAAGTTCCTGAACTTTATCTAAAAAATCTTCATTTTCCTTGATTTTAATACCAAGCTCATTAACACTGTCAATAAGTCAATCCCACTTATAACTACAAAATTCCAACACTTGATGTTAATCCTAGATAATAACTCATTTTCACATTCAGTTTAATTCGTACCTCAATAAAAATGATTCAAATTCATGTAATTAACCGAAATCCCACCAATAAATTGCTATCAACTGCTAATGATATCTAAGATCAAAACACTACATATATCAGAAATGTGTTAATTAAGCAGGAAGTACTAAAATAACATTCGCGAATATGCATATCAATATATCGCCAGAAATCTACCACTGATTTTTTCAATAATCATCAAAAATCGTGTTCTCAAATAACCACTCTTCCACTAATGTTCAAATCCTGACTACATCAAACGAACAATAATTATAATCTACCTTTAATAACTAAAACTAACCTTTAGTCACACGCTGTTATTTTTTTAAGTTATTTCATGTTTCTCCCTTTCCTTTCCTTTCTGTTCATCATTCAAGACTTATACCTTTTTTATCCCCAGAATTAATTGAAAATAAATGAAAGAAATTAAAAATAATTCCGCACCAACAAAAAATAAAATCAAATGACAACTAAAATAAGTTCACCTTTAATTGGTGGTGTCAGTTATTAATAATTCCTGAACATTAATGTTATCATCCAGACAAACGCCCTCGACAACCGTATCATTGAAAAAAATGCCACTCTGTTCAACAATCTCATCAATTACTTCAATATCCATGATTACTTTATCTTCCTCTCCCGCTTCGGTTGCCGAGGCATTACTTCCATTAACTTCTACTCCAACATGATCGTCAATGTAGTCAATGCTTCCATTTGTCTGAACAGCTTCCTGAATTTCCTTTTCATTGATTTCAACATCACTGATTCGGGTCTCACTTCTTATCTCCAATTCATCGACTGGCTCTTTAAGCTTTTCAGCATTTTGTCGATTTAAGATACTATAATTTGTAAAAACAATGTACAATTTTCAAAACGTTAAATTGCCACAGCAAATGAAATTAATTAATAAAGAGCCTATAGCAAAAAACACTAAATTTTTACATGCTTTGCATGAAACTGCAAATGCAAAACAAAAAAATGTGCCTACTTGTATTCATTAACAATAATATTTTGCTTCTCATCACTTGAATCCTTAATTTCATTTAAAGAATATAATAATGATCCGGAAGCAAGCGGCGATTTTGATCTCTTTATTTTCTGACTATTTCGCTTTTTTCGAACACTGGAAACGAAGTCTTAGATCACGCATTAAAACTTCCGATTATATGGAATTTAAAGAAAATAAAGCGGAGGGAGACTAATGAATCAAACCATCAAAACAATAGAAGTAAAGGAAAGAAAGAAACTTTTATAAAACTTGCCTAGCCGATGATGACCTCGTACTCCTACTATTTCTCGATCGTGCGTTGCTATGATGACGTCGTGACTTCGAATAATGTCGTCGTCGTGAATGGTGCGACCGCCGTTTTGATCTTGAATGTGAATTACGTCTTGAACATGACCGACGTCGCGGTGAATGCTCATGTCTAGACTTGTAAGGTGAGCGGCTGCGGTAACTGCAATGAATAGTGAATATGTCAAAATTCACAACATTTACGCGTTAACAGAAATTATTTATTATATGTTTTTTTTCAAATTATATCAGTATAAGAAATAGGTTTACCGGTTTCGAGCACGATATGAATTATAGGAATCTCTTGCACGCATTTCTGTTTTTGCTGAAAAATTTGAAGTTTTACCTACTCCTAGAATAAAATAATTCGGAAATTTCAGCGCATAAAGATTTTATCATGTTGAAGCGTAAATATGTAATAGAAAGAATTTACAAGAAATTATGAACATAAATTTTCCCTTTCTTTTCTTTCTAATATCATTTTCTCCTCCTTATTCATGAAATTCCAATTAAAATCTCATCATGTTGTTGAAAGTGGTTAAAGATAACTGGTGCTTTCATCTATATAATATATTCTCAGAGGTTCGAAAAATAACTGCCACATGTTACCCTTTAGTCGCCAGGGAGTCAAGAACGCAGATAATCTAACAATTAAAGAGACTGCCTTAACGACTTCTATAGAAAAAAAAAAGCTCAAAGCAAATAAACCTCGTTATCACCGGCAGTAAACGCCTTGCAATCAATGGATTATCCGCGACTAGATTAAAAGTGAATAATACAATAACGGACGGATAAACCATTCAGTCACGTAAATATTTATGAAGAAAAGATAAATTTTAATTCCAACAAACAAGTCTTAAATAGTAAAAAATTAGTTATAATATAATTGAACAATACTTTTTCGTTGTCCCTCAGCCCATTCAATTTCGATGCGTCTTCCCAGAATGCTCGCGCCATTCAACTCCCTCAAAGCATCTTCTGCGTCTCGTGTGAATTCAAATCTGTAATTTGCTCTTATGAAACAAAAAACTTTTACGGCAATGAACAGATGATACTACTGAAAATGAACAATTTTAAAATTCAAAATCTGAGTGTTGAAAAGTACATGCATAAACTGTCGAAAACTTACCAAAAACACATCTTAAAAACGAGGAAATTTTTGAAAGAAGCAAAAGTATAGAAAGAGGTGCTTTGTTGTATCATAGAGATTGGTATAGTAATGAATGTGGTAATGGTAGCATAGTAGTAATAGGAAAAGCACCAGCAGTAGCAGTAGCAGAATTCATATTCATTGAATACATTTTACCCCGCTGTATATCGTCATCACCGGTACAGCCAATCTATATCACCCGTACTCGAGCTCCCAGTAGTTAACTTTAACCTCCTTGTTACTCAACCAATACTCAAACACTTGAAGATGTGCTTGATAATTAGTACTTGAGATACCAGAAAGAGATAAGGTCTGCATCTTTCCAACTCCACCTAATTGAAAAAAAAATAATGTGAATTTCATATTAAAAAAAAGGATGTGGAAAGAACAGATGCTATTTTTTCTGTCTTAGAGATAGGAAAAAATAAGTCAATTAAAAAATCGGATTACAATGCTGAAATTTTCAAAAAAAATTCGAATCTCTTAAAAGCACTTACTTTACGTAGGCAAAACCTCGTGATTCACGTGTGTAATAATCTAGTGGAATATAGACATCACGAACGGGTCCTATTCGTTCGAACAACGCACGTAAATCATCAGGCCTGAAAAAACAAGCACGTAAATCACCAGGCCTGAAAAATACTCCGCGTAAATTATAAGGCCTGAAAAATCATCATTTCATAAGTCAACAGGCCGAGAATTCCCAAATAACGTTTAAGGTAATCGTGTAAAATAATTTCACCATTTAATACCAGTCAGTTACCTCTTTTAATATCAGTCGCCTTATTTGAAAATTTAAAAATTTTGATGATCTAAGTAAGCCCAAACCGAAAGACATCTATTTGTTTGCATAACTTAGCGCCTTTATTGCTATCAATGGAGTTCTTTCTTATCATTTAGCCCCTAGAATGATTGCTTGTTACCCCTTACACTTGAAAATTTCAAAAAATCAGTAAATAAATAGATCGATTAATTAAAAAATTAAAAATAAATGAACAAATGAACAGGCCATATTTCTAAAATTTCCTGATTGATTTATATTCAGAACTAAAGAAAATATATCTAAGGCAAAAAATTAATATTTCTGAAAAAAATAAGAAAATTTCAAAAGGCTTATAAAATTGCCGAAACAGAAATTCATACCGAGCGGAGTAATGTACCTGTCGTACATACAACGTTGGTATTTCATCATCCCGATAGCTGCCTCTACGACCGCTCATATCGGGAGACTGAAACCAAACTGATACAGTCACTGAACCGCTCTACTCCGCACCACTCCTTCCCTCCCCCGCCTCTTCTCCCGTTTAAATACCTCACACTTACCGGAGACGTACCGCACATTTCAAGATTTCAGCTAGCTGTGCTCGTGGGTTCTTTCGGAATGCGGTGGCTGTAATGTGGGTTTGATAATGAGTGTTGTGTCAGAGATGATTTAATTTGTAGTGCAGGAAGTTCCTCTCTTCGGGAATCTCGATTGCTTAATTATACGATCGTACAGGAATAAAAAAATTGACGGATGTAAAATAACAGTTGCAGGAAAGAGAATGATAAAGAATGGTATGAGGTAGTTGGGAGATATGCAAAGAAAAAAGTTAATATTTTTTTTATTTTAATAATATTTTTCGGGTGGAAATGTTATAAACTTGATAAAGATACTTTTTTTAATATAGACATTATAGATTATAAGAAATCATAAGCGGTAGTATAAGGGATGTTGGATTGGAATGGTGCAGCAACAAGTGATGATGATGATTATATGTCTGATACATATACAGCTGTGGATGTACGACCTGGTTTGTTTGCATTTCTCTGCTTATAAAACGGTTAATGTTTGTGAAGGACTCTGTAATAATTTATACTTTTAGCTTCCATCGCCGAATTTAAACTAAGAATTAAAATTTGAAGCCTAAGAATATCAAAAGGTATCTCTATGCAAGAAGAAAGAATAATCAGTAATTGAAAGGTGTTTTATTTGAGCTTAAAGATAAAACAAACATGAAAGGAATATGATTACGCTGTTGTTCTCTCCATGTATTGTAATTAAATTAAAATATAAATTTGTTAGATACATGAAACTAATATTTAATTAATAGAGAGAAGGAGAAATTTTCTAAAAATTTTATTTCATTTTATTCTTGCATTGTTTTTTTCTTTTTTTCTCTCAGGAATTGCGGAAACTCAAACTCAACGGCGACGTTTGAAAGTAGAGGCGAAACAGATGGGAAATATTGAACGATTACGAAATCTACCAAAACGTTCGGAAATGGAGAGAAAGATGCGCGATGATGCATTAGCGAAGCCTGTCAGTGAGAATTCGAAAGGATTTTTGTTACTGTCCAAAATGGGTTACAAGTCTGGGATGAGTTTGGGCGTGGAAAGAGAAGGTAATTAATGTATTTTTTTACGGGCAAGATGGTGGATTAATGTATAAAACTTTTTATCAAAAAAGCACTTATAATGCACCCATTTTTATAGTTTTGGAAGATACTAGAAGAATATATTTTCAGTATTTTTTGGAATAATGAATTCTCATATTTTTTCTTGAAAGAATTCATTAAGTTTAGGTTGCAGTGAAGGGATCAAAGTACCCATTGCACTGGAGCTGAAAACAAATCGTACAGGATTAGGGCATGATACTGAAGAGGATGAAAAACGAAAAAAACGCATGGATCTCTACCAAAGAGTTGTACTGGAAAGAGCGAAAGCTAATGTTAGTTTATTTGAATTTCAAATTATAATGAGAAGTTAAAAATGAAGTTTTTGTGCTATTGTTGCTGTGTTAATCACTTTAGTGATTCCTTTTTTTGTCCACTAATTGGAGTACAATTTTAAAAATTCTAATTTTGCTGCAATAAACGAATTTCAGGAAGCACTTGTGGATGATTTTTCCGTAAGAAAACGCTGGGCTGCACGTATGAAACAGCTACTGAAAGATTTGAAAGAAAGCCGGAAAGTATGCCAAGAATTAGATGCCAGGTTAATACGAACATGAATCCTTTAGTATATTATTTTCTTCCAGATTTATAGAACAGTTCATTTCTTTCTTCCTATCAACTTTAGGAGTGGTCTGGAACTTCCTACATCCTGTTATTTTTGGCCAATATACAGGATAAAGAAGGAGGAAGATTCTTCTCCATTAATGAAGAGAAGAACTGCAGAAGCAGAATGCATTACAGAGTGTTTCACATATTTTAACGGAAAAGTGGCACCAGATGATTTGAACGCTGATGAGTTGTCAGAGAATGAAATTGTGGAACGGTATATCGTTTTTGTAATTCTTTTTAAGGACAGAAAATAAGAAAAGAGTGATTAAAAAGTACTCCAGTTGTTATCTATTGTTTTTGCTCAGCTAATCAGTGATTAGCTAAATGTAATAAATTCCTTATTTAACCAATGGCTGAATAATTGAATTACCAGTTAAAATTTAATATGACTAATGTGATAAATAATATAACATAATATAACATTATAGTTGAAAGTTCATTTCTAATAATTAAATTCTCTCACTGGATTCTGTTACTCTTCATTAATATTTTCCATTACACGAATAGAGTTAGAACTTTGAAACGTCGACAAAATTTAACTGAAAGTCAGCGTCAGCTGAAATTTATGTCGATGTAAAACACTTTTAATAATTTTTTGGGATAAAAGTTAGTAGGAATAAGTAATATTCAAGGTGTTTGTGAATCAAATTGACTGCTTAAAATTTAAATTGGCAGTTTGCTTTAAACTACTATAGATTTGGAGCATTTTGAACCGTCTACAGTAGAATTTATTCCCAGGTTAACGGAACTAACGAAATATCTATATGGTGCTCATTGTTATTGTTTTTGGTGCGGAGCTCAGTATGATTCAATGGAGGAATTAGAAAATAGTTGTCCAGGAAGAACAAAAGAAGACCATGAAGGCTGTGATGAAGACAGTTAGACATATCGTC